ACTTTCTATAGTTGTATGTGAGGCTCAAGGGTGAATTTTAATTCTCATACCCATTTCTTGATTTTATCTGGATGATCTTTAGAAAATCCTCACCTATAATTGTATTGAGGACTATCTCAAAATCTACTTAAATAGAGTTAAATGCTTGGATAGTATGTTAATATACCACATTTTACAATTGTTATGTCAAATTAATGATTTGATCCCTTCATCATTGCATTACAAACTTGTCATCTTTGGTTGCTTTGATTAAAGTCTAGTAGATGGGATATGTTATGGATACTTTTCCTTTCCTTTGGCTTTCATTTACATGAACTGCTTTATTCCATTCCTTTTTGTCTTTTCATTTATTGATTATTGCTATTACAAAGATTATGTATTTATATATGTAAGATAAAGAGTACATTTTTGAACAATGTTACCCCTTCCCTCACTATTTTTTACTTCCATCCTCTGCTACCAGTTCTATAGTCTATTTTCAACACAGTGTCTAATGTGTAGCACTGCTGCAATTGGTCACCCTTTGTTCCACCCTTTCTGTGGCCATATGCCCTCCCACAGACAAAAGAACAAACTGATAAAAAGTAAACCAAAAACAGCAATAATGAAGAAAAACCTCCTCTTTGCATTTCTTAGAGTTGATTTTGATAAATAGTATCTTATATGATCAGATGCATATAGGTATTGTGCCTTGCCTTTGTGTTCTTTTCCTAAGAATATTCTCCTTTTGATTTGCATATCACAAATGTGCAAAAATTAAATGTATTAAAAATACGAAGACATCCCTGTGTAAAAAATAATAAGACAAATAAAACAAGGAAATGAACACAGTGGCACTACTGAGAAAAGTAAAACTCATGTACAATCCCAATAGTGATTTCTACAGAGAGCAATATTTCTGACAATTATAGATCAGAAAACATACGTAGGAGTTGGCACAAATTGAAGGACTTACTATTATTTTTGCTTTGTTTATAAAATCCCAACTTTGAAAAAAATATGCAATAATCTATAGAAATACCAAATGTTACTATTAAAACAAACAATAAATAGGAAAATGGAAAAAAAAAGTATTCTCCTTTGTTCTCACTCTGAGGAATGCCTAGAGACCTGTATAATTTATCATGCCTGGGTGTTTTTCTTTTGTTTTTTAACATTTAGTTTGTTTACTTAGATTCATAGGTACATTCTAGCTACTACACTCAGAGAAACCATGCAATATATGTTTCTCTTGGTCTGGCTTATTTTCCTTCCTTACAGTCATTGAGGGTCATTGATAGTCAATTGAGTTTCTTGGAATCAATAGACAGGAGATTTCATACATTCAGCCATTTTAACTCATTTTTTTAGGGGCTGAATTTTGGAGTTTTTACTGTAGATTGCAGAAGGCCAATTATGAAGATCTTCAGCCAGCCATGGTAACTCTTACTGGTAAAATTTCCTGCATTTCCATTCCCAGTCATCATTAACAGACCCCTTCTCACTACTAACATTATGTACCTTGTTCTTTTGGCTTATTAAAAATTCTTCCACACTTTTTCTCATTTTAGAGACTTCAGTGTTTATTAAGTGAATTGAATAATAGTTATTTTTGAAATTCAGATTATGAGTCTTCTGAGAAGAATATGTATTGGGTTGTTGTTAGGTGGAAAACTTTGTAGATGTTTATTAGGAGTGTTTGGAATATGGAATCATTTAGTTCAGAGGATTTTTTGTGAATCTTCTGGTTGGTAGACCTGTCCTTTGGTGAGAGTCTCCTAGTATTATTGTATTTGGATCTATGTTTCTCTGTAAGTCTGAGAGCATTTGCTTCACATACTTAGGTATTCCAATGTTTGGTGAGTATAAATTGATGATAGTGATATCCCCTTCTTGAATTGTTCCCTGTATCAATATATAGTGACCTACTTTGTAATTTTGTACTAATTTTAATGAGAAGTTTATTTTGTCAGATATCAAGATGTCAACCCCTGCCTTCTTGCCCCTGGGTGCAATTGCATGGAAGATCTTCCTCAGATATTCCTCAAACTCAGAGTTTGTTTGTATCTTTGACTGTGAGATGGGTCTCTTGGAGACAACAAATGGATAGTTTTTGTTTTCTGATTCACTCTGAAGTTCTTTTTTCTTTTGATTGGTCAACTGAGTCCATGTGTGTGGTTATTATAGAGCGATGCATTGTGTTTTCTATCACTTTATTGCTTTCCTGAGTTTTGCTTCTTTCCTTTTCTCCTGTGCTTACTAAATTGATCTTCTAGTGAGATATGTTTGATGTGGTTCCCTGATGTTGTTTTCTTTGGACTGTATTCCCCTCCTAACTTTTTTTGGTAGTGCTCAATTATTGTTTATGAATTCATTTAGTTTTTCTTTGTTATTAAAATTTTTCAGTTTCTCCATCGAATATTAATGATACCATCACTGGATATACCAGTCTGGGTTGGCAGTTATTACTTCTCAGGGCTTGAATGGTACTTTTCCAGGCTCTCCTTGCATTGAGGGTTTGTATAGAGAGTTCTGCAGTGATTCTGATTTTCTTTCTGTTATAGTGTAGCTCTTTCTTTTATTTTGCAGCATGTAAGATTATCTGTTTGTTATTCAAATCTAGTACTTTTACTATGATGTGCCTAGAAGTTGCTCCTCCTGTTTGCTAGGGGTTCTGTATGATTCTGATATGTAGGGGAGATTTTTTTCTTTTATGACAGGGGAAGTTTATGGTAATAAGCTTGTTGAATTAGTGTTGCATCCTTCTATTCTGGTATTCTTATACTTCATTGATCCAAAGTATACAAAGATTGAATTTCTTGGCATTGCTTTCATGTTCTTGGACTTCCCTTTGATAAGGTCTGAGTATTTTTTCCCAAATCTGAAAAATTTTTCTCCAGCAACTGCGTTTTGACTTCGGTTCCTAATATTCAATTTTCCGTCTCATTTATTCTATTAACTATGGATTCCATTGTGGTTTGCATGTTATAAATTGAACCATTTATGGTTTCTATATGGATTCTCAAAGTGTTAATTTCATCTTTAAACGAGATATGTACGGTGTCTATTCTTGAGAACATCACTTTTTCTAGGTCTTGAAAGTCTTTCGATATTTCTTCTTTGTATTCTTTGAATTGCTGACCTTTTTGTCGCCTTATTTCTTTGTTCTTTGGCAAATTCTTTCATCATCTGTTTAATTGATCATTTGTCCTACATTTCTTCTTTGCTCTCACTGGAGTTCTTTCCTGGGTTGCTGCTGGCTTTGGAATTGGTTTGCTGTCTTGACTGTTTATAAATCCTCTATTTTTCGCTGTGATTTTCATATGAGGATTCAGGTGTTATCAGAGTCAAATCCCAAGGTCTATTTTTTTTCATAGACAGGTGGCAGCCTTCACTTGGTCTTGGGTTAGTTCCCCTGATCCGTTTTCAGTGTGTGCTCTCAGCTCTGGGTTGGCTGAGAGGAACTTTACCCAATCTCTAGCAAAGAATGAGCCCGTTGAGTGCAGGATTCCGTAGTACTCTTCGTTTCAGAAGGGGTTGGTTTTCAATGGCTGCACTGGGTATGTTTTGTGTGTGTGTGTGTGTGTGCATGTGTGCCTTGCCCCTGGGTTGTTTCTCTTCTCTCCAGTGGCCGGTGCTTTGTTCTGCTGCTTGGGCTGCCTCATCTTATGCACGTGTGCATGTTCCACCTACTGTCTGCAACACTCACACAATTTGCATCTAAAAATGGGGGCCGGGATTTCAGAGGCACCTTCCAGGGGCCAGCTCCACCCAATGGGGGCATATTTATCTTGTTTTCTTACAGGAGCTGGAATGGAGTTGCACCAACTTAGCAGATCTGGTTGAGGGAGGGCCAGTCCTTTAGCCACTAACTGGTGTGGCACATACCTCGATTCCCTGGCTTGGCAGATTCTGTCATGGGAAGGGATGGATCCCCCTGGCTGGCAATTGTTGGCTGCTGCTGGTTCCCTGGCTTAGCCAATTCTGTTTTGGGGAGGGACCGTCCTCCTGCTGCTAGACATGGCTGGACCCACACACCTTGGTACCCCAGAAGGAAAGCCCTCCGCCAGCTGCTGCCCTGTGTGCAGTCCTGATAGCCAGAACTGTGGGCAGGATTGTGTCCCAGTACCCATCAAGTATGGATCCCTAACTGTGAGCAGGGTTGTGTCCCAGCTCCCACCAAGTATGGATCCCTTTGGCCTCCCACTCAATGTTAGTAGGTGGGGTAGGGGTGGTGGTGTGGTTTTGTCCTCTTTGTCCCCTTCAAGGGAGGTGTTCTTTCTTGTGTTGGGAATGAGGGGAGGGTCTAGTTCAAGCCCTGTGTGTCACTGCAAGCATTGGTCTCCCATAGGGGAGGTCCTTGGTAGGGTGTTCACTGATCCTGGGTTTGGTTATGGGCTGTCTGACAGTGCTGTGGGAGTTCTCTGGATCTGGGTATCACGGTGCCATGCCTCTGGTCTCAGGCTGTCTCTGTGCTGTCCAGGTTCCCATGTTATGGGCACAGCAGTCTGCTGCTGGTTCCTGAAATCCTGGGCGGTGGGCTGCTCTCAAGGCTTGGCAGTGCCAGGGCGCACTCTGGCGAGGGGTGGGGACGAGTTCTTCACGGATTTCCCTCTTTGGGTACACAGGCTATGAATGTTTTTTTTTTTCTCTTCTCTCCTTTGGTTCCTGTGGTTCTCTCTTGTTTATTGTTCATTGTCTGTCTCTTGGGGGTTTTGCATGTTAGGGTTCTCCTTCTTTTCAGTTGGAGAGAGTTAGGAGAGTGGGAGTGCTCTCATTTAAATTTTAATGACATTTTTCAGTTAATATTTTGATAGACTTTTAAAAATGTACATATGAAAACTGCAACTTCATTGTATTCTTCCCATCAGTCGTAATATTGGATATCCATGTATTATTGTAATTCCTAGATATATTTATAATTTTCTCTCTTCATAAGGGTAATGTGTATGATTTGCCTAACACATAGACAATGTCAGAACATTGTCAACTGACCTACGGTCAGTTTTCTCAGTTAGTTTTATGCATTTTCTAAATTTTATTTTCTTCAGGTAGTTGTACAAAGGAGCTGCCATTCAACAGAGTAGTTTATAAATACATTGCCTCTTGATCAATTTCATTCCTGTCAACATTCTCACCCACTTCTTTCACTTGTCCTAATTTTATTATTATGTATCAAATTATACTATTTCTATTCTCCATGGATTCTATTATACCTCAGTTAGTTCATGGATAAATGCTTTGCTACCACCTAGGTACATTCTAGTTCCCACTAATGATAGTAATTTTGCAACCTGGGCTTCTCTGAGTCTGCTATACTTCACTTACCATAATTCTAACCAAGTCTTTCTGTTTCTTTATGAATGCTTTAATGTTGTTATATATAATGGAAGAACAATTTGAGTGTGTAAACACAGCCCATTTTCTTGGTCCATTTTTCTATTGAGGGATGTCGTGGCTGCTTTAGATTACTATAAATAAAGCTACAATATACTTGCTTGTGATGGTAGCATTAGTGTATCCTTGCTTGTGCTCCATTGGATAAATGTCCTAAAGAGGAATTGCTGTGTCACAGGGGAATTCTATGTTTAGGTTTTGAGGCCCCTTGATACTACTTTCCAGACTGTTTGAGCAAATTTACATTTCCACCAAGCATATAATAAATTTCCCTTTGGCCACATCCTTGGCAGAACTTGTTATTGTTTTCTTGATAACTGCCATTCTAACTGGGGTGAGGTACAAAGGCTGTGTTGTATTGATTTGGATTTCCATTATGACCAGGGATAATGAACAGTTTTTCATGTGCCTATTGGGCAGTCTTATTTCTTCTTCTGAGAAATCCCTCTTGAAGTGATAAACTCATTTATTACTTTGGTTGTTGTTTCTTGAGGTCTAAGTATATTTTTTGAGCTTTATTTGTTGAGATTCTGGAATTTTCTGTAGAAAGTTTTTATTTGTTTCCAAAATCACTACATATCCCCTAATCTTTCCTGTAAAACCTTAATGGTTTCTGGCTTAACATTGAAATCTTTGATCCATTTTGAGTTGATATTGTGAAAAATCCTGTGTGGACATTTAGTTTCAGTTTTCTGCACATGCATGTCCAGTTTTACCAGCATCATGTTTTCAGGTTATAATTTTAGCTCCTTTCTTCCAACATCACATAGGTGTTCTTTGCATTCTTTTCTGGATCTTTTACTTATTCCACTGATTCTCTGGCCTACCACTTTTCTGATACAAACTATTATCATTACTATGGTGCTGTAATAGAGTTTGGAATTTGGTAACATTATTCATACAGCACTGTTCTGACTGTTAAGGCTATAATATCTAAAATATACTTAGAACTCAAAAAATTAAATCTCCTAACAACAAATCTCAGACAAACAGCCACCAATTAATAAGTGGGCTAAAGAAATAAAGAGAGACTTCTCTGAAGAAGAAATAATGGCCAAGAGACATATGAAGAAATGCTCAACTTCTCTAGCCATGGCAAAAATCAAGAACTCTAACAACAACAGATGTTGGAGGGGAAGTGGACAGAAGGGAACCTTACTTCATTGTTGGTGGGAATGTAAAGTTGTTCAAGCACTTTGGAAAGCAGTATGGAGGTTCCTCAAAAGACTTCACATAGAGCTCCCCTATGACCCAGAAATCCCAATTTCGGGCATTTAACCAAATGTTTACAAACAAGATCACACTGAAGCTACCAGCACAACTATGTTTATTGCACCATTATTTACCATAGCTAAGATATGGAACCAGTCCAGATGCCTCTCAGTAGATGAATGGATCAAGAAAATGTGGTATATATA